AACATCTTCTACAATAAAGAAACTGTCCAGAGTTTTGATGTCAAGTTCAGCATTCAGATCCGAAAATGCGTACAAGAATATGCTGGTTCCATTGAATTTCAAATGAAAAATGGAAGCAAATATAGAGATGACATTAACAGAGGCGAACTCCCATTCCACAACGCGATACTGGTTGCAACTCTTACGTGCTCGTTTCTTTTCTATGAACAGTTGGTTTGGTTATATTACTAAACTTAATCAGCTAACATTTGTCTAACAGAACTGCAAATCATTTGAACAATGACTTCACTAATTTTGCTTTCTACATTTAATTCTTTTTACAATGAATTTCAAAAACCATTATGAAAAAAAACGTGCAAAAATTTTCTATCCAAAAGAGGAAGATTTCAAGCTGTACAGGTTTATTAAAATGTTTAAGAAAGATCCATAATTATGAACTGAAACATTATTTACCCTCCTCGAATACTAGATAAGAATTAGAAACACTTGATCCCAAAATTTTTGCACTAACTATTCCATATGATTATTTCTTTCTAATATTTAAATATTCTATAATCTGTTCGCTTATACTTTTACAGCTATATTTTGTAATATGATGTTTCGAATGGAAAACGAGATGCCATGAAAAGCAAATGAAGGTAACAGCGCAACTAGGACAAAAATAAATAATATGTTAGTTTAGCATCGTTCCCAAAAGAAACTGCCTTTTTCTTGCCATTACAAAATTTGAAATTTTACCAATTCAAGAAAATAAAATGATGAGGAGAAAACTTTGACACGTTAATTCATTGCGTTTACTGGCACCTTGATGTACTGGTATCTTGCGAAGTGATGCTGTAATAATGAACAAGACCATCAGCTAAAAATAATGGAATTGAAAACGCTTTATTGTACACAACTTGCTCCTAACAAATGATGCAATGTTAACAAAGATCATAAAAACGTAATTCGCTAAATTAACCTTCCCTAGCACTCTAATCTGTTTTAAAAACTCACTTTGGCGTAACAGTTTGAATCATCATCTTCATCAACTGTTGATGAACTATTTTTGGAGGTTTCCGAGTAGCAAAAAGTGATTTTCGAAGCAACCTTTGTATTTGAAGTACTGAAAAAACAGTGTAAATCACTGATATCATGAAGTGAATAAGCAAAGCATTTTAAGAAAGCTTACTGACTGAATTTTATTAGGTAAAGAGAAATATAAAGTGACTACTCAGTAAAATTTCACCTTATTTTGTGTTACAAGACTGCTGTCTCGCTTGATCATAACATAGATATGTGCAGATAAGACATTTTAAGAGGTACATATCAGTGATGAAAATGTAGAATTATTCAACAATATGATCCTTTACACCAAGTTTACATGGTAGTAGCAAAAAGTAGCAAAGTAGTCTTTATATGAAGAAATTGATGTATTATTATATAATGCGAAATTTACCACCTAATTTGGAAGAGACTTCTGCTTCCTGGCTGACACTCAACATTTCTTCCTGCAGTAATGGATAAAATCAGAAAAGTTGAAATCGATAAGTCCCTGGTAAGTAAATGATTCAACTTTCTTCATAATTGACTCAAGTTAGACAACGAGTTGAATTAATAATACTACTGCACTAAGCAATGAAGTTTAATATCGAGAAGTAATCCTAATGCTTCTAAAAATGTGCCCAGAAATATCACGACTTTTACCAGTTGTAGCTGAGAAAATAATAAGCATAATAATCGCCACAGTAAAACTTAAAACGAATAGTACGACAATAACAGTCAAAGTTATAGTTAAAATTAAAACAGAGAGAATTACAGCCACAATTATTATTAAGCACAGAATAAGAGGACCTGTGAGATACAAATATTTATCATTGAAAACTGACAATTGTGAGTCACTAGAACGTATTTCCATATGTATGCGTCGCCTCTGCAATGGAGACTGCTTTTAAGGCAATAGTGAATAGAAACCAACCAATTATGAAGGACACAGTTCAATAATATCAACGAAATATAGTACGTACGTTTTGCTTTTATAATAACACATTACACGAAGTGGACTGTATGCAAAAATAAAATTAAGCTGTGTGGTATCGAATGTGTTCCAGCAAAATACTCAACTGTGGCGTGACTCACATTATATTATTAATAATTCTATTTCATCTAAACAGACTGAGAATCCAGTTTTCTAGCAAAATGTTGGCAAATAGCCAGAACAATAATTTTTATCGCTGAAAGATATTATGGGGATAGGAGATGAGACGGCTATTGATTGGTGGACAAAGGCAAAAGGAAAAATGTCGCGCAGTTGTTTCATATGAAACGATGTGGCAGTGGAGTTTGATAATGATACGGAGCCTATGTAATCGACCTGTGCGTTACTCAGCGTGTCGTACTTATGAATGTGTATGAGATAACTATGTGGATGTGTGTCTGTTCGTAATATGTAATGAACATAAAGTTTAGCTCGTGATAAAGTTTAACTTATATATCATCCTTGTGATGCGTTAATATTGCACATTTTATTGGTTAAGACAAATTTAGATTTAGTTCTTGAGTAAATAAACTTTGCAAAGGAATCTTTAGCATTAAGGTTTATTTATTGAGCAAATTATTATTATTAATATTTCAGCAACATTCCGCTTATTTTTATCGCTTTTATTATATTCTCATCACAAATTTGTTTTCTTTATTTATATTCCTTATATATAATGTAGAGGCTAGCTAAAAAAGTCGTAATCTTTTAATCATTGTAATTGATCAGGAATAAGGAGTTAGTCATCATACACTTAGCAAGGTATTAAATGTGATGGTGAAAATGGCTGTGAAAGGATATCCTAAATATATTACACTCAAAACACAAAACAGCAGAAGTAATCAATTGTGGATACATATTAACGTAGAGAATGTTTCAATCTAATTCATCACCATCAGGAAGAGCAGCACTACTCTTATAAATTAATGAACTCTTAAAAAAGCAAAATTGATGAGTAAAAATATTGCTAAAGCTTTCTTTTCAAATTCAGCTTCCCATGTATTTGAAATTGTATAACTGTGTGCAAATGATGCATTCTAGATAATATTGTAGACATAAGTGCCGATAACCAGACCTTTTAGCAGAAGCTAATTTTAACTTCCATGTATAACTATGTATAGCACCAAATGATAAGAAATATTTGGATACTATTTTTACTTAAGATCCATTGTAGCTAACAAACTATTCCGTTAATAAACCTATACCCCAATTAACTTTCTTCCTAGTTATGTATTGATAAAGTGAAAGAGAGCAGGTCGACTTTGACAACGGTCATTTAATATTTGCCTCTTCTCCAAGTCTTATTACTCCTTTTCCCGTCGTACATAAAGTAGTGAGTAAAATTTGGTGAATGAATCCGCATACATGGTAATTTCTTTGGCTTTTAAGGCTATGCTACACGCATACTTGCTACTCAAACGAAGGTTAAGATCAGAAATGAGTTTTTCTGGTAGTGGTACTTAACAATTTCACTACCTTCCTTCTATAAGCTTGGTCCTTTATTTTACATCCCTTTCATTTCACAGAATTAAGCACACTGATGGGAATTTGTTTGTAATGTTGCTTATTGGAGAACTCGAGGCTACCACTAAGGAAACGAGGACAGGAGTTCTCCGTACATTAGTATTACCCGTGCTACATCTTCCACTAGCTATGACATGTCTTACCTATGCCTTCCTCCCAAACACTTTTTGTTTGTAGCGGTCATTTCCTTGGAATAAAACCGATTCTCTGCACTGTTTCAAGCAAATAGTAGTTCGAATCTGACCTGTTAGTCTTTGCTAAAATCTGCTTCCAGTACTACTACATAACGTAACTTAATAAGTTACTTATTGTTGACATATCAGAAGTTAATCTGCCTTCTTAATACTGTACGCATCTCCACTGTTTTCCTATGTATGAACGGAAAGGGAAAAAGATGTTATGAGACAACAGCACTCAATCGTTTAATGCATTAGTGTTTGTATCGTTACACAGACGCAGTCAGAAGCGGTTGAGTTGCGAATGCACTGTGGAAGACCGCACGCAAAGGTCGTCTTTTTGCATCCGTTGCGTGTGCGTTGTTGCACTGATGCTTCAGTCGATGTGAGATGCTCTTTCTCTCTGGCTCTCTCTCGCAGATCATCTCAACAAAGAACGGGGAATGTATGTGAGATTGCTAGTTCCTACTCTTTCACTGCACGTACATTATATATATGTATATATATATATAATTTATTTATAGATTCGTGTGTGCTTGCGTTTTGTAAAGAAAAGAGTGGGGTAGGCGTGTATGTATGTGTGTCTGTCTGTATATTTGCATTTAATAGCGTATGGGATGGCATTGGCAGATGCGGTATACTGCCGATGTGAAAATTAGATCGTATGGCAGTTCAGCAAGTGTACGGCTGTGGCTTGGCAGGCAGGCGATTGTGTGGAATGTAACTACGCCATTAACTTTTCAACACTGGCAACGCTTTTTTAAACGAAATTTCGTAAAAAAAACGGAAAAGAGACGCCATTATAGTTGAAGAAGTTTTTGAACAATTTACATGATGGATAATTTGATAGAGAAGTAAATGACACCTATGGGGCTGTTGATTGTTTTTTCTTTGATTATGTCCTGGTTCCGGAACCGGAGACGGTCCGGTTTTATTCCAAGGTACTTTCCAACTGTCTTGTCTAATGGTTTTGCTTACCTTTCCCGTAATCAACAATATTGCCATTTGTAATCTCAGTAGTTGGTAGGTATCACTGAGTACATAGATACTCTCCAATCATTTCCCTCTGTTAACTAAATTAACAAGAAGTTTTAAAAGCATTTTCAAAGTGGTCCTAGTCAAGGAGACGAGAAACGAAAGGAGAAGATGTAAAATAATGAAGGTGCGTTAAAGTTGAGTTGCTTACTGTTGCTTCCTTCCAATATCAACTTTTGTGCAAGAAATCACGTTCAGACTGATTTCTTGTCGTCACCTTTTATTCAAACCGTTAAAAATTAATAATAGGTGTGACACGGTGCTGAATTGTGTTTATATTTGGGTGCCGTGCGCAGAAGATGAAAAGCAGTTTTATGCAGTGACTAATCTGATGTTATGAGTTGCACACCAAACGAGGTGCACTGTGTGGAAGTATTACAGATTCTTTCTTTAATATAAGCTTTAGATAGGATTATTTTACTAGTAGTATGTGTTTGAGGGAAGGTGAGGAATTAATCCTAAACGAAAGTCGTGGCGGGATCCGCCAACTTATTCTACTTGAAGAACGTGCAGTTATTCTTGACTCTGTAGAAGACCATTCTTTGATCCTGGCTTCCCCAGCATTTAGTGTTTCCATTTTTTGCATATCGATCCTGAAGGAATTATCGTGATAGCTTTGCTAGCGTAAGTGGGAACCTAGCCCACATGAAAATCATTTTTTTCGCTCGTTTAACATGCTTTTCTCATATTCAAACACCTGTTTAACGTTTGTTAAGCAATATAGTATATGTGGAGCTTGCATGTCAGTGCAAGTGTTCGCACGCACGTACGTACGCGTACACGTGTGTTTTCACACGAGCGTGCAAGTACTTGAATGAGATTGCACGCTACAATTTATAATCACATGGACGGGCGAGTAGAGTTGGGAAGATGAGACACAAGAGTTGAAATATGCTTGTGATAATGGGTAGCAAAAATTGTGACATTATCGAATTGTGTGGACTATGTTGGTTGCAGAGAGGCAGTGATTAAAAGATGTAGTGGGGAGGTGGCGATGGTAGGGTGGGTATGGAGTAAGAGGAGATCGATTGGCTTGGTTCACAAGACAATGTGGCGGATTTTGCTAGAGATTGAGGGGCACAGCTGTGTGAGACATAACGCAGTATAGCGGGATGCGAGGAGGGCAGATATAGTGTTGACTTAAGGAAGCAGTAAAGGGAGGTGGAAGCAGGGATGCAGAGTAAGATACATACGTGTGGGATGCGTGCATGCGGACGTAACTGTGATTGATGTGTTGGTTGTGAGGTAATGTTCGGCGCTGAATTTTGCAGTGGTAAGACCACGAACAAGAGTTCATATTAAGGTGCAAATCAGTTATGTATGTGGTGATAAGATGATGAGGAAGAAATAGTTGCCATATCAATGCTGTACTCACTGATGCGTCACGCCACATCACACCATATATTATACTGCATCGTACCACACTATACTTTAAGAAATACGAGTGATATGGGAGCTAACTAATCATCTAATCTACCCTAAAGTTCAGCATTTGCTTCACATGACTGGGCCATTTTTCTTGATCTAGTTTAGTTCTGTGATCTTGGTCATAGTTATACTTCAAGTGATGTAGTAAGAGGTAAAGGAACAAATGACGTTGTAGGGAAGATTGATAGGCCACAATCTCAAGGATAGGAAACGTGAGAGGTTACAAGCACGCCATTTGTAGAGGAGGTAGGTGAGAATATTGCAGAGGTCATGGTATGTTCAACTGATACTCGTTTCTCGGCATCACCATGATTATAATATCCTTGAGACTTACGCACTAGTGCTTAGACCACGTACGTAGTAAGATCAGCACTTTCTTGTATTACATTTTGTCATCTTTTGGTCATTTCATATTTTGAACCTGAGCTGACTAAGTTGATTTTGGAACCATTTTTGATATCATCTCCGCTGTTGATTTCATGGTTGGCTATGTAGCGCAGGACTGAAAGATGTGTTGTTTTCTTTGTACGAAACAATAAAGGAATTGAAATTGCTCGAGATACTGTAACTAGTCTCATTCAAGTCGAGTGGTGTCATCAAGTATATTAATCCTCGTACGTCGTACTTTACATGGCATCATCCAATAATTTTCAGCATTCTTACTGGTGAGAAGTGAAGTTTTGACTACTCTTCTACGAATTCCTGTAGAAATCTTGAAAATGCCTCGCGACATTATAGCTAGTAAGAATTAGTGTGGGAGTACTATTTTCAGCTTAATTTGACAGAAACTGGTATAAAGCTTAACTTATTTCCGATGGTTGTAGCATTTGACTAATCTACCGTACTCAAGTGCGACTGTAAGTGGAGTCAGATTTGTTGAGCTGAAATGTGACTTTAATGACACAAGATTTGATAACGTTTTTATCGTGTCATAAACTAATCCAATATGCGGGGATTTTTTTGCTCAGCTCTTTGTTTTTTTTCTACAAAACAACCAAGAATGTGAAATTGCAGGCTTGCAGTTTAAAAACTCAAATGGAGATGTGAAAACTGTTTGCTATAGATAGGAACCTGCTTCCATTAGTTTCGACTGGGCCACTGTTTTGTTTTTTAATAATTGAGCTCGGACCATAGAAAATAATTTATATTTTACATGTCAATTCAGTTGATGATCAGGTCATAGTTGGTAATTATGGCTTCTTGGGTATTATGTTTTGTACACGTAGTGATTCAGTTAGGGGATATGTTTGAATGGATTCAGGGCTTCAAATTATCGTGTTTAATTCCAATAATCTAGATTTTCAATAAAACAGTTGACTACAAAAATTAGGAATTCTTCTGAGGGTAGCCCAATAATGATTTATTAAGAAAGGATTGAAACCTGGAGAGATTGAAAAGGTGACTGACTGGATGATGAGTTTGGATTGGCATTAAGCAATACCTTTAATCATTTGCTACTGTAGATATATATTGAAAGTAATCGGAGGAAGTGTACTTATTTCGCATCTCACTAACGGTTCTGTGTTTATTGATATTTCGATCATAGTTACTTGATAAGTTATTGTCTCTACATTCCTCAAATTATTTCACATAGCAAGTAAAAGGATATATCAAACGATACCACTTTTATTTCACTGTATGAAGTATGCGTTAGTGAAATGTTTCATAAAAGCACTTGTTAAAATCGACGTGATTTGAGAGGAAGTTTGGGGCTAGTAAGTGTGGTTTCAAGAATACAAATTGTTCTCAAGCGGCGGTAATTTACTGGGTTCTGCGTTGCAGAGACTTTGGAGTACTCTTTGAATGAAACTGAGAAAACTTTGAAAGCACATTGAATGTGAAACAGGTTTCCGAATCATTGGCATTTATTAGAGATAGATCGCGTACTCCCTCTTCATTCAGGGATACGTGTACATAAGCTTCTGCTGAAATGTGGTGTAAGTAGTAAATTATATTAAATAATACTTGCAATATTTATAATAAGTTGTTATTTTGAAGATATGTCCTTTATTTGTATTTTCAAGTTTGCAAACCATAGTTATTCGTTAATTTCTGGGAGAAAATTGTTTTTCATTTGTGAGAAAAATTGTGATGTGAGTGTTCAACAGAGGATGATACTCAAATATACATTTCAAGTTGCATTTCAGAATTCACTGGAATAAGCTTAAGGTCAGTTTGGTGGGCTTACTGACATGAAGCATGGAATCTCCATAAATTGCACTTGTTTTAACAATTAAAAGCAGAGAACTGGCGTCATTTGAGAAAAAATTATTTGTGGTATCATAGACTTTACTTAAATTTACTGACGGTGTTAGATTGTTAATTGTAATTGGTGATTTCGAAACTTTACGTTCTACATGTGGTGCAGTGGAAAATTTCACATAGAAATGATGATTCATTATTTGACAGAAGAAAGTAATGCATTGACAATGGTCGATATTATGGCTGGCTCACTGGACAAATATGATTTTTCGGGGAATTTGGAAATGGAATGCAAAGACATTGCGGAAAAACATCTAGGCGAGGAAGTGGAAGATGGTGAACTACCTGAGGAAGGTGAAATCTGCGACGACGATTTCGAAGGTTCTTACTTGTCATATCTCGTAAATATGTTGAGATATGCTTCTCAGTACGGAATTACATAACTTTGTTTTTTGCGATTAATTGTATCATTTTGAAAATTACAGGACGTGAAAGTGAATTTGTACGAAGTGATGAAGTGTTAGCGAGCGCATCTTCAAGTCATTCATCTCAACGTAAATCACGTGATTTCGACAAAGAGGAAGTAGTGGTACGCACCAAAAGTCATTCTAAATGCAAGCAAAAACAAAAGAAATGATAAAGTAAAGTAATGAAAAGGGGAAAAAGAATAATGATGAGATGAAGAACAAGCAAATGGTGGAGAATATATGCAAATAAGCAAAATGCAATATACATTACAGTACATGTAAAACAGATTTGCCCAGTGCCATTAGTTTGCTGAGGAGCAGCTTTTAAGAACTTAAAAAGACTAGTCAATTAGAAGTTGAGTATCTGTGATGTAGTTGAGAAGCACTATCATTGATCAATGCTATATCCGTTTCTCTCCTTACACATGCTTTATTATTTGAGAAGAATTCAGATGACGTGAGCGTCACTTCAATTTTTTCTGTAGGGCGCTCTCTTGGATTTAAAATTGTGATAAGTCGGCATATTTTGATTTATTTAAAAACTAGTTGCAAAAGTTTTTACTAGTTGAGTTCAGCAAATTAGACTCAAAGAATTGAAATTTAGATTGTCGGGAACACAGAAAGCATAATCAATTCGTGGATGACAGGCTTAAAACAACGTACCAAATCTGGTACCACGGGATCTCCAACAATTGATGCAAATGAAGAATATTATGGATATGGGAACAGTTCCCCTCGTGATGGATCTGGAGACAAGGATTATAGAAACCGAGTGGATGATGCAGCTGATAAGGTTTAGTTAAACTGTAATCATGCAGCAAATGTTTTGTTTATGTCTTGTTTACGGGTCATTTTATCTTTTGATCAGAAGGAAGTACAAAAACCGCCAAGCTTCCGGTATTTTCTCCATAATTGAAACTTTTTTGTTAGAGCATGAAAAAACTTACCATGTTTTCTAAAGATTTTGATTATGGTGACTTCGACTACGATATATTCTTGTTTATGTTCAAGGACTATCGTTGGTTACGTGATGAAGATGGGGCAAGAACTGTTGGTGACATTAATGAATTTGGCGATAGTGATTACAGAGGTGGATCTCCGAAATTAGATAGGCGGTTAGTGTTGTCATGAGGAATTCCTAATGAATTATGTTCAAAAATTTAGATTAACTATGGAATTGTCAAAGGGTTTATTTTTGATTATCATATTTTACCAAACATAATTTCTTATTATATATTGTTGCCGTTCGAGTAATTTTATTATTTTGCAGTCGTCGACGTTCTGGAAGTCCAGCATACAGTGGTCCAAAGCGACCAAGACATTCTCCACCAATGCGAGGTGGTTATCGTGGAAGAGGTTTCAGAGGCCGTTGGGGTGATCGCCAGATTTGTAAATTTTTTCGTGAAGGCTACTGTAGAGATGTATGCACTTTCTGCTTGCAATTTCCCATTGTTTTTAATTTGAAATTTATTTTCCATGGATTTAGGACAGATTTTCACTTTTTTCCTAAGTATTCTTTGCTCTGTAGATCATATCATATTTTAGGGCGACAATTGTTCCTATTCTCATGACGCAGCTGATTCTGGTCGGAAAGCTGAACTATGCAAATTTTACCAACAAGGTTTTTGTAAGAAAGGTCTTCAGTGCTCATTGTTGCATGGAGAATATCCGTGCAAAGCTTTTCACAAAGGAGAATGCTCAAAAGACCCATGCCAGTTTTCGCATTTGCCTCTCAACAGTTTCACTCAACCAATATTTGACCAGGTTAGTTTTTATTTTATGGAGTAATTTCAATCTTGGTTCTGAACCGTATCGTTGACCGTACTTTCAAATTTCAGATGATCAAGGATGACGAATTAGCATCTCGCATAGCCATTCCTCAGGGTCCTCTAAAACGACGGGTTCTGCTTCCTGGTGGACCAAGTTCGTCACCCAGTACTCCTTCAATTGTACCAGTGCTTGTTACAGTGACTGCAGATGGCGGACTAACTGGAAATGTCATACCTCCACCTTCTGTCGTTGTTCCGACTCTTTCGTCTACAGCAACTCCTGTAAGTATCGCTCAACCTCAGCTGGTCATACCATCAAATTTAACCGCCAGTCAGACTCCATATCCTGCTTTCTTTCCGCATCATTCAATTCCAGCTCCGGCTGTTGTAAACTCATCTTTAAATACTACTGTGCCTGGATTGGCTCCTCAGTCAGTTCAGAATACATCATCTGTTTTACAGAAATATACGGTTTGTTCTACTGATTTTTGTGCATACTTATGAATAGTGAAGTAGACTTGTTTTTTTTTTTTCGAAAAATTTTAACTTTATTAAGGCGGCTGTGGATAAACGTAATTTGCCGGAGGATGAAGAAGACAGCTCATTTAACATCAGTAAAATGTTAGAGCAAATAACAGCAAAAGTAAAGAAGGACAATTTTGTGGATGGTTTGCTTTATCTATAGTTTTTTCAAAAAAAAAAAAAAATGTTATATAGTAATTTTAATACCATCAATTTTATTCTTAGTTCTCTGAATTGTGTTGCTTATAGTGTTGATCATTTTTTCAGATTCTCCTGCTAGTCCTCCTACTTTTAATCCAGATTCAATCGCTAGCGAAAGCGCTCCAACTATTCCGGAAGCAAACGTTTTAATATGGAAACTTCATTCAATTGATGATATACCAAGTCCCCAGACTAATATTGACTCTAAAATACTACAAGTATGTTTCTAGTTATAGCTACCAGTTAGTCTGCCTTGTCAGAATCTTGTCATATGCTAACTTCTTTTGAAAATGTTCCATTGATTTTAGATGTCATTAACTGATTCTGCTCTTCGTAATGATCCGCGAATAAAAAAAGCTTTGGCGTCTCAGTTCGATGCATTCACCAATTCTCTAATGAATGCTGCACCACCACCGTTACCGCAACCGGCACAGGTGGTTACACAGCAGTCAATTTCCACTACAACGACAGTTGCTTCTGTTGCATCTGCTGCTTCTATCGATTTTCCTAGAGAAGATTCTACGTTCGTTTTTCGCCTTTGTTTGAAGTTTAAAGCGCATTTTATTTCATAATATAATGACGTAGCAAAAATGGAATTGAAACATGAATTTCTTAGTCCATATTATCTGAAACAGTTTTCACTCTGTGGTCTCTCAAAAAACTTCATTACAGTTCATCGAAACTAACTGATCCAAGAATGTCCATTGTTAATCGAGATCCGCGCAAAAGACTTGTGGCCGGTGACCCACGTGTGGCGACAATCAGCGACTCACGTTTAGTTTCAACTACAGCCTCAGCAGATCCACGTCTTGGCACCGTATGAAATTAAAGCTCATTACTGATAAAATTTACGAGCAGTATTTAATCAAATAAAAATTGAAATTTATTTTATGCCTGTTTTGATTAAATTTAGTTCCATTTTCAGTTAAACAATATGGCTGTTGGACAAGTGCCATCAGCATCTACACCACGAGCAGGAGTTGATAATCTTTTTGCAACTGTCTCCCTAACAAGTCGTGATCAGGATCATCGTTTGCAGTCTAGCTACGAAATTAATCAGGCTGAAGAACATGCTATAGAACGAAGCATTGGATATGATGGTCACCGAAGTTCAGGGAGTAGTTGGATGCCGCAAGTTCGAGCTACCATTGATCCGCGTCAAGTAAAAAGGTTTTTTTAAAATACGTATCTCTGTGTAATCTTACGAGCTAACCTTGTTTGAATTTTGTTTGAATGCTTAACTGAATACCTAAGTGTTTTTACTGGTAAGGTGTAATATAAAAGGCTTAAGTGCATGATTTCATTAAATTTAAAGGTATGGAATGTCGGGGTATAGGAATGAACTTAACAGCAGTCAAGATCGTGATGAAAGAATGTTAAGTCGTGCAAGAGTGGATGACACTAAGTTGTCTCCAAATAATCTGCTCACAACAAGTGTTACAACACCTCAAGCTCCTCTTTCACTACGCGAAAAAAGGAAGAACAATGAATATGAAAGTCCCTTGAGCAGGATTCCTGAGAAATCTCGATGGACATAGATTTGATGATTTAAAGGCAGAATTTCTTGCCGATCTCATTAAGGCTGCTTATTATTTGTTTTCAGTAAAGAAAACATTAGCATTTAGTATCTTCGCAAAATGCCTTGTTCTTTATTCACCAATCCATCAACATAGACAATATGTTCAGTTGCAGTCTTTGTTTTTGTCATGATCATTCCAACTAATAGAGTTTATGGTGTAAGGTGTATTTAATACGTTGTTATTTTGAGCAGTTTTTATTTCTCTATTTTCAATAAATTCTATGGTAAATTGTTGAAAAGTGAGAAATTTAATTATAAAGGAGTAAATGGATCTGAAATGCAGCAAAAAATGCACATGGTTGTTTTTTTTTTTGAACTTGAAGTATTCGTAAATTCTGATGGGAGATTCTTATCAAGTTCATCTCATTTGTTATATTTTTTGGTATTTGTTTTTATCATACTTGCGTTCTTTCTCAAATATTGTCCATGTTTGTGATTCATCTGTATTTTATGAATACATAATCACATACTGAGTCACCTAGCCTCAGCATCGGGTTTCATTTCTTTCGATAGGCCTTACTGGAATTCCACCAATTACTGTATACTACACAAGCTGTGATGCAAAGAATTTTTTTATTCTCGAATAGTAAAGTTTTGATCATTGGCTATATAATAATCATGGATTTGAAGCATTAAGTTGTGTGAATGCATCATTGCTGCCGCGTTGTTAGCGTGCATTACTGTTGAATGGGCCTTAGATTGCTCTAGAATCTCGTTTTGTTCATGGTCATTTTAATTGTTCTGTAGTTTATTCATCATTTGATGTGACTGTAATTCAGGTTAAATATAAATGTACAAAGGTGTCCTTTATTCAGTAACAAGTTTTAAACCAATGTGGCTTTGCATTATGGTGTTTTGGAATTGGGAGTTTAAATTTAAGTAATGGAGGTAGTGACACTAATTGTTTGTGTGATTTGTCTAAGAAACATTTTGGACCGTTGTCATGAAGTGTTTGCATTCCGATCGGAGGCATCCGTAAACATGTAAGTGAAGGACATGGATTGCAAGTCGTACATCAATTGCGTTGCTCGTTATTTACTGCATTACAATATTTCATTGTCTTGACATATTTTTTTATTTAATACTTTATGGGATTTCGATGGCAAACCTGTTTCCAATGTGTACTTCGCGACGCGATTGGGATGGTAATCTCTTCTTCCTACACACTGCAGATGAATTAGTGAGTGTATCCCCAAGTTTTGTATACTTAAATCTCTCTACTGTATTCTAACATCGCGATGCACACTTCATCGTATTGGATGGTACAAAGCATTCGTATCGTGATCATTTTTTGTTGGTTTCATATCTTTGAGTCCTCGAAGGTATGTTTCTTCTGCATTATTTGTCAATCGCTTAATACCAAGAGTCCGTGGCTTGTTGCTGATTTCCTCGCATATGTAGAAGAATTGAAGCCAGGTGCTGGGCTTACATAGCTCTCTCGCGATGGATAGTAGCGTTTTGCTAAAGTGAGAGGGAATCACTCTGCTTATGTCAAATTGTGACTCGTCGTCTTGTTAATTGTGAAATTCTTAAAAACCAGCGCGCTTAAATGTAGTGATTTTGGCATATCTATTGATAAATGCGGCTAAAAATTGTTTTTCTGTGTCAAAACACTTCCTTCATCGTTACCACAGTTGCTTTTTCCTACTCATAATTGATTGAGGATAACGATTGTCATGAAAGATTTTCAAATTACCTGATCTGTCCTAATCGTTTTGTCACCCTACCAACAGACCAGAGTAACAAATCGCATGAATATCGAACATTATAAAAAAGGTACATACATTTTTTGCACGCTTTTTACCAATGAAAATATTGCATTATGCGCTGTGCTGAATCAAGATTAAGCAGTTACATTTTGGTAAATATGAGCTAGAGTATTTGCTATATATTTTTCAACTACTGAAAACGAACAGAATTACCAGTGATAATATTGCAGGTGACTAATTTTTTTCAGCACTTGACAAAACTTGGCTTCATATTCTTTTCCACACGGAATTAGATATCAGCTTTACCACAGTGATTTTAACTAAAGCTTATCTGTTGCAAAAAAAATTTAATTCAAGACAGAATGCTCTAAAAGTTCTGCAGAGTTTCTGTGTATCTATGCAGTTGTATGTGTTAACTATTTCCAGTGAAAAATGGACATTGATTTATTTTGCCGGATATCAGTATGAGAAAGTAGAATAACAGAAATTGCGCAACAGAAAGTTGTCTAGCAGTCTGTTCAGGAGAATATGGGTAACTGAGTTTAACTGCAGAGCTTGATATAAATCAGCTGAAGCATCAATATTGGATTCTTAACATTTCATTTTTCTTTTTTTCGCTTAGAGCGCAGAATCATTCACTGTTGGTAGATGATTAATTCTTTTCAGCGCTTAAAAAAATTTTGGTAACTATCTAATACTGGTATTTATTCTTTATTACTACTTAAAGTTCTTGTCACACTTCCGTTCATGTTTTAAGCGAAAATTACAGTAATGAACGACATCCTCATCAGCACACACTCCCACACATACGAACCTCTTTGAATGCTTCATCGATTCATTTTTTCTCACATCATAATTTATCAGAGCCCCCTCACTCATTCATGCCCTCGCATTTCCACGTTTTATATTGCATACATTTGAGTTTTCACTCTCTCTTTGATTTGCACTATTTATATTTAGGAGTAGTGGAGACCCACTCATTTTCTTTTGGCTTCTAGTTTTTGCTCTTCATATGTTACACATCATAGATTCCACAAATGAGCTTATGTGACTGCTGATGGAAGAACATTCCATATTTAATTCTAACGTTTTTCCTGTAGGTTCAAGTTTTTGCTTCAAGTTTTTACTCTTCATACACAACACTTGGTTTAGAATAGACATGATACAAGTGTAATTTGTTTACCTTTTTTTCATTTCTTGAAAACCTTTCAGCAGTCTAAGAAAAGCAAGCATCAGGTATGCGCAGTGATTATTGATGATGCCAAACAGCTTTCTTAGAAGTTCTTTTGTATTTTCAGCGCGTATCATGAAAATAAATGTTCTTCCCCTTCGAGCATTCATTAATTTTGTTAAAACTATATTTTGTGAGTAGTAGGAAATAAAAGCCATCAAGAACCTTATTACTCCGTGGATATAAATTTATCCTATCCAGAGATTGATATGGTTTTTCATGGTTACAAACCATTGATACCGCTTGCGTTTCATCAGCTTCTTTGCCCTGGATATCGGACTAATGCTCTCATCTTTATGTTGTTTGGTAGTTATGACCAACATTAAATAATTGCAAGATTTTTTCATCAAATCTCTACTGCAATTATGTAATAGCTAGTGCTCATGATTTGAGTGCATTCTCAATTCAGTAACGTCTGGGAAATAATATATACTTTCTCTCCCATAGATATTTTATTCGCAACCAATCTATGACTGATGTGCATATTTTCTTTCATCACTGGTGTCTAACCGATAATTTGTTTACTGTTTTGTTTTCGAAACATTTAACGGAAAAATTATGGAGAACATTTCAGCCGGTTGCAGTTTATATAATATTACACTATCCGTTAAAGAATTTTAAGGACGTTGTCAGTGACACTTACACTTGTATTGTCAATCACTACGCATCGTAATATTTCATTATTAATGTGCGTGATAAAGTATAAATCGAATGAAACAGATTAATGTCAAAATTCTGTCTGTGCTCTTTTTAGTGTCTGTGCAAATGAAAAAAGAGGTGAAACAATTACAGAAATAGCATAATTTATATGAGCATAGTGTCCATCTACATTTATGCGATACTTCATTTGCCTTCTTTAATTCATTAATTGAACACTTTCCCTCTTTATATACTGGATTATACTACGTATCAAATTTGAAACTCACTGGTGACAAATAAAAACATCGACTCTACTCGATGGTGTTGAGTTAATTGCTGAACATTCACCTGTAGTCACATATTATTTCGGTCAGAAAACTAGCATGGAAGTAGATTAGCTAACGTGTTATAATTGAAACTTAGGTCGAGGTTAAAATTGAAATAAATTCATCTGTTTTATAACTAATGAACTCAGTGATTATTTCATTTTCAGTGTTAGGATAGCACACTTATATTACTGAAAGGTACTTCATAGTTCAAAAAGATGCTCGATAGATAATAAAGCAAACAGTCCAATTATTTTACAAGCGATATCCGACTTCCTATTACTTAATCGAGATAACTTTTTTCTACTGTATTTGCTACTAAATTTTTTTCCTTTTATTTTTGCTGACTCTTATGTTGTTCTACTTGCAGTTATCATCGAAATTATCATTTTTACTTCATATTATGTCTCGTTAACGAAGGGAATTCTTTTAAAATAGAAAATGAAGATCTAAAATAGAAAAAAATGAATTTGTGTGCACGTCAGTAAGGTAAATAGCTTGATTATTATGAATCCAATCATATTTAAATCTAAGCAGTTATAATGGATTGAAGTAGAGGTAAAATGTTTGACAGAAGTCTATGCAGATTCTCAAAGAATTACTGCCAACAGAAATGTTTTCAGAAAATGCGAATTTCTTAAACATTTTTGATTGAATTGGATCATTACTATACTATCTTCATATCAAACGGAAATTTTGCAAAGATGTTCTTTGATTTCGTAATAATGCTGAAATGTGATAGTTACGGAAGGCAAGAAGGAAAAATGAATTAATAAGGCAACTTCAGCATCTGAGGTAAGTAGAAAAGAAAGTCACTCACTGCAAATACTTTACGTGCAGCGAAATAGAGAACTACCTGGTATTTACCAATAATACTCCTTATATCACTCTTACCTTATTACTACTCAATTGCTTTCTCAAAAATGATAAATGGTGGTTTGCTTTTCTTGTAAAGCATCATGGCATGTTGATTAGTATTATCAGTAAATACTTATCAGTTGATCTTTTTGTTCATTGCATGCTTTTCCTAACCATCATAAACCCTTTCAATTTGTTGATGCATTTTCATGAGTAACTTTGTGCTCTCAAAAGCTATAACCATAAACTATGGAGCGGTTCGATTCCTTCCATTATTTTCTTTTATTTTGTTTTTCTTGAAAATAAGAAAAGAGCATGGAATGACGAAAGTATGACAAAATTTTCAGGCAGTAAAAATTAAGAGTAGTTTAGACAAAGAATTACTTAGACTTGTAATAAAGAGGATCGGAAATAAAATCCAAATTATTTTGCTACATGTAGTTGTCAATTTTATTTGCTGTCGAAGCATTTCCTGTATATTTATAGCTATTATCTTGTATCTAAATGACCAGTCATGGATTTTAATGTTAATTTTTTTAAACAATATTTCTTGAAATCAGTCAACTTTTCGTTTTCTTGACATACATTTACTTCACAAATTGCAGTATACACCGATATTTTTCTCTTCAACTCGTTCACACTTGCTGCTATCTAATAGTTTAACATTCGTATGTACAACCAGCTCTTATTAATCAAAATAGTGCTGATTATGTTAATTCTCAAAATTTGTAGAGTTTGCATATCTTTTTACTTGCTTCGCAAACAAGGCAACAAGATATGGCATGTTTTGTAGCTCAAAATTAAACCCGTTATTATTGAATAATTGCTTCTTTTTCTGTTATCACTAATCAAATGTTGCTGATTCCTTCATGATCCTTACATACATCATTTGTATCAATTTTCGCTCTCGATTAAGCATCTAATTTCATTTTTTATCATTTAATCAAGAAGAAATATTTTTGCAAACTTTTTGTTTTTACAGTTAGTCTCTTAATAATCTTCAATTTTTTTTCTCAGTGATTTCCAATAAAAATTTTTTAACTACTGCATGCATATTGGTTATGGAATATGAAAGGTGATTTCGTTTATTGCTTAAATTGCCAAATTTAGAGTTAGATAAATATAATTTGATTTTTTCAGTAGTAATTTTTATATAAGAAATATTGAAGGTGTTAATAAACATTATTATAGCCTGTCTTATAGCTTGCAATACTTCACGTTCACTGCTCAATTAAATAAGAAGCTTAAAGTGTGTTCTCGTTTTTCGTAATAATTCATTTACGCAAATTAATCTGAGAAAGTGAGACATGACAAATGAGTAGAGGTTTCCATGAAATTTTATGATAATAAAAGTAATCTTGTGTCACATATAGTCTGTTATGCTAGTAACTGCATTCCTTGATTTTAGTTAGTGTGGTTTTAGTAAACTTGTTGAAAAGGCACTGGATGATTGCTAATTGCTATAGTGGTTTTTAGTAACAGAATTGCAGTATAGCTTGAATTTTTGGAAAGCAAAAAGCAAACTTACTTGAAATTGTCTACTGAATTGCTCTGCTTAATGTAATCATGATTACATATTGGTACTTATGGTTATTCTAGATTTCTTGTTCATCGCTTAGTTTGTACAGTGTACATATTATTGTGATTAGGAAGAAGTGGATTTTTAGTAGGTACTCATGTGCTGGAGGGAAAATCGATATTTTGATATATTATGTAATGGAGCCATTCACTTTGATTTGAATCAGGAGTATACAACTGATTTAATCATTGTGTGCTTGAAACTGATGCTACTTTTGTAGTCAGTCGCTTTTCCTTCGAAAAAAACCACGTAAAATAGGGATTGAATAATTTCGTCGATAGATTTTCTAATGAATGATTTATGAAAATGTTTATAGAATATGTATTGATATCTCCCTCTCTCTTAATAATATCGTCATTTATGTTTGTTTCCGTCTCATGTTCATTTGTTTTGTAAAGATCAGTATAAGCAGAAAGATGCGTGTGTCGACATTGTAAATTCAAAATCCTTATTTTACAAAGGAAAATTATGGTCTAATCATCTGGAAATGACACTTTTGTGACTTGCAAGAGTTATGAATACATTTCCTAAGACGTTATAAATTATATTTCTGCTGTGCTAAGCAGTTTATCATCCCATTACGGTGCAAAAATGCTTGATGATATCAATATTTTAATAATATTCATCAACATTTCAGCAGTCGGATGTGCTTCAGGGTCTACTTATGATCATTTGCATTCTAAGTAAACCTTTTCTATATATAGTTAAATTACGTGTTAGGTCAGGTTTACCTTCCACTGGCTACCTTCCTTCCATCATCAAATATCAGATATTCTATACATGAAATATATATCCGTCAACTACATGAAATAGTTAACAGAAATCAAAAATATTCTGTTCAGTGAGCAAGAAATAGCAGCTTATGTTAATTAATAGTCAGTATACGATATTATTATTGTTTACTGCAAATCTTCAAATTAAAAATTATATTGTTAATAGCACAGAAATGTCTAGTTTTTTGTCATAAGATGACGTAATCATAATGACAGTTATATGAAGCATCCCGCGATCACTCTATTACCAGCAGTTCACATATTCCATCCATTACTGTTTCTTATCATAATGAAAGTCTGATTATATCAATTTTTAATGCTTATTCATGCTACAGTGTGATTATTTATGAAAATCTTTTTCCTTTAAATCTAGTTGAATATAGCGCATCACATTCTTATTTTTTAATTTTGCATTTTTTTTCAGTTCATTTGTGATTATCAATATTTACAGTTTCGTAATTAATTTTTTGCATTCACTCGTTTGAAAGGGTATTTCCCGTATGGTAATGTTGAATAGACAAAAAATTGGTAATAGCAGTGGTGCCATCGCTGCACCTTCCAGTACTATGCCGAAGATAAGAAGCAGCTCGGATGTAAAAGATGCTTTTGAAGATTTTTATGGTACTTTCTCTTTTGATATTGTATCATCTTTTGAGCTTAAATAGTCATAGATTATTTATAACATTCTTTGTATTCACACCAATTAGTGTTTCTTTTTTACTTTAGCAGTTGATTGGATATAAAAATTTTGAACTACTTCAAATTTATATTAAACGTGCTCATCCATTTACTAATCAGATGACATTTCAAAAAATCTGGATTGATTTGTGCTTTCATAATACTGGCAAAAAATTTCAGATGATGGAGAACGTATCCCATTGAACGATCTTTTATCACCTAATGAATCTGTTAGAATCAATCTCAACCTTTCTGATATCGTCTTTCAAACTGCAAAAATTTCTACAGCAGATAAATTTCCTAAAGAACGTAATAAAGCTGCTGTGAGTTGTCTAGCTGTCTGTTAGTTTATCGGCAAATTCAAATTTATTTAAAATCATAATTTTGCTCTACCTAAGTGATTTCTGCCGTTTTAAGACTCCTGCAATAGCAGAAATTACTTATTTGTTGCAGAAGAATAGCTTTCAGTATATTTCGGAGAATAATTTTAAAGAGAAAATTATAGATATCAATAGGTATGCTCTTAACAGCAGCTGTATGCAACGATCTTGTGTTATCATATATCCATGAAAAAGTACCGCAAGAACCACCGTTACCAGATGCAATATTTGCTCACACTCCTTATATTCCTTGGGCATTGGCTTTATCCGAATATTTAATGCTTGCATCATTCACATGTATGCTTGTATTAACAATCATCCATAGACATCGGTGGATTGTACTTCGGTTCGTGGCTTCATTTTTTTCGAATTATATATCCATTTGATACAAATCTAGGTTTAAAATGTGAGTGAGCAGTTAATTAAAAATTATAACTGCAAAATGAGAAATGGATGAATTATTGGTAGAACTTGTTGCAGACGAATTTCTGTTATCGGCTCATTACTATACTTTGGCCGCTGTCTAACAATGCTGGTGACGCAGGTCCCTATAGCAGATCCAAATTATCACTGCTCACCTCGTTTGAGTGTTAGTATTATCTTGAAATTGATCGTCTCACAGTTAGTTTATTTGGATGGGAATTATCGAATAATTTCACTGTAATTTTTTTGTGATCATTATTTGCATTTACTCGTTGTAAGCTTTCTAAAATTATGATGTCTGTAGGTTCAAGAGGCATTCTTGTAGTCCATTCTCTCTGTTTTCTTTGCTAAATTTCGTACAAATTCTGTTCATAATTTAGGGTGCTGATTACACTTTGAGGAATGTGATTGTCAGAGCAATGCGAACCGTAAGTGGTGCTGGTTTAATGATAAATGGTAAACATACATTATGTGGTGATTATATCTATAGTGGTCACACAGTCGTCCTCGTCACCAGCTGCTTGTTTATCACGGAGTGTAATATTTTATTTGAAACTTTCAAGAGTAAAGTAATGCTTTGACAAAAATGCTTCAATTTCAGAAGGATAATAAAAATTTGTAAATAGTTTACATGGTTACAAATTTTTAGATTTTTTTTTGCATCACACTGATGTTTCAGATAGTCCTCGAAGATGGAAACCTTTGCATTTTTTGTCAATAGTGATATCAGGTGCAGGTGTTATATTATTATTAATATCTCGTGCTCATTATACAATTGATGTCATTATATCATACTGGATATCAACGCGAGTGTTTTGGACTTATCATACATTGGCTGCTTTTCCAAATCTTCGGGTTCGTTCTTCTTTCATTCGCCAGCATCTATCATTATTATTGTCATTAATATGATATTCGTCGATATTACTTAGTCGAGACTAAGAAGATCTTTTAAATGCTGTTTTATTTCATTATTTCTTGCTTCCTTTGTGTTTACTCTCTCAACTCTTAAACAATCAAGTATTTTCTTCTAGAATGCCAGCTCCCATTACAATCATTTATCTAAATTTTATTGGTATCGGTTATTTTTATTCATGGAAGGAAATCTGCAAAAACCAGTACCACGAAGGTAAAGATTCTGCAGTTTAAAATATAATCATGAACTTCTCATTTCTACACTATCGATGCTTTATTTTTGCTGGTTGAAAATGTTTAAATTATTAAAGGCTGATAAACAAGGAGTGTCGGTAAAGCAGTAAAAAAAGTAAAACATAAATGTGAATATTAATTATAGTCATTTATACTTGCTGGAATTTATATAGTGATGGACTCATGTTCAGTTTTGTAACTTTTCTTTCGATAAAACTGGTGAAGAGAAAAAAGTTGACAAGAATTAATAGACTAAAGATGTTTAAACGTTTAAAAAAAGGCATTATTTAAGATTTGACTGGCCTTTTTCTTCGATAAGATTTGGTAACCGAGCAGCTTGCAAAACAAACATTTCTTGAGAAATGAAGGATTGCCAAAAATGAGATATCAAGTGTGGACGAAATCCTGACTCTACGTGGTAAAAAGTTGAATCATAATTGCAATATAGACATATGCACACATAATTCAGTTTGTAGTGATTTATCTCAAATTTCCAGCGTTTATACCTTGTTTGTTTTAGTTTTGTTCATTCCCTTTTCTTCATGATCTCAATCTTCGAACGTGTAATAGCAATGAATTTTTAGAATTTTTGTGCAGAAACTTGATGCTTTTTAGGATGATTAAGACAGTCGAGGAACAAATTAGTTATCTTTCAAGGATATACCAGCAAATCTTACTTTTATTACTTGCGAAAATTTAGCAACTTTTTTAAAATATTTATTCATACTTTTTTTATTGCAGCATTTTTGTAAGACTTCATTTTCCGAGTTGTTTTTGTTAATAACGGTATTTGGCTTATCACAAAATATTGTAGTCATTTATATCGAAAAAGTGTTGAAACTTTGCAGACATGCAGCCAGGTTTGTTTCCGAACAATTTGCCAATTCTCTCGTTGTGTCGACTTCATTTATATTTGCTATATTTGGACTATTCACTTGTAAAAGTCACATATCACCTTCGGTCATTCATATGCAAGTATTAATAATTTTCAGTTCGGGAATACTACGAGTTATCGCTCATTTCTGATCTACTTCATGATTTTTTTCTTCAATTCAGAATTTTTGTATTTTTTGTACTTGAAACGATAGGGTCAACCAATCAGAAAACGTGCTATTAAAAGATTTAGTCAATTTTTATGAGTTTATCTCAAAGCAGATGTGATTATGCGATTCCTCACCACATTCCTTGTAAACATGAATAAAAATAGATGATTCTTTCTCCATATATTCTCGATTTTTGTACTCAAGTATTTCAATATTTGTGCGTTTCAATTAAAAAGCTTTGATCACGTACTACAAAGTAAGGATTTTAGTCTTGAACCATAAAATCATAGGAAAAAATACATTTGCAGTTGGTGGTCATTGCAGCTGTTCAATCACGATTCATTAACCTTCGAAATTACCATGATCTTTCCAAAACTACTACACAATGTTTCTGAAATTTTCCATGTATTTACGCGATATTTATTTGTGCTAGTATTCTTTTTACATGTACAATTTTTTTTGATTTGTCGTATCGAAAGAAAGATTGCTGAAACTGACTACCACTGAATACAAAAATTGTAATGCCCCAATAGCTAGTAGTGAAGTTGTAGATGTCAGTTTTATTTGAAGTGTTGGATTTACAAAAATCTCCGAAAATTCTGGATGTTTTTGAGTGGAAACCACTACTACACATATTTTACTGCGTTATTAAATAATAAGGGACTCTAGAAAAATGTGGTGCTTGATTAGATGGGCAATTATATGTTTACCAAGTCAACATATATATATTTTGCAAATTTTAATGGATGAGATTTGATTTAATTACGAGCACAAAGAAGCGTTTCAGTATTTATGAACGCTTTAGAAATATCAAACAAATGGGGAAAGCAAAAGAAATAGTCTAAATACCTTTCTTCAGAATTCTTCAGCAAAATGGAACGCTTTTGTCCGTCATGATTTAGTATTCGAAAAACGACTGTGCAGAAAAATATAATTTATGGGAGTTAAGGCATTACAAAAATTCAACGATAAGTAAATTCCAACAAATACTTGAAAATACATTCCTTAAAACAACTTCAATTACGCCTAATTCTATGCTTCATTTTAGCCTATCGACAGATAGTCGTCTTATTAAAATTTCTAGAAAGCAATCTCCGGAGTTAATTTCGTGTCACTACGAGTGAATGTGAAATATAAAACATCTAAACTTTGTTTAATTCATGATGATCTATTTTGTTTGCTACATTCCATTTTTGTGTAAACTAAATATACTGATAAAGAGAAATCAAACATACTGGTAACGAATAAATCAATCGTTAAAGTTGATAAAAAATATCAAAACATTGAAAAATGGAAGTTTGCCTCTTGCAGAACTCAAATAGGTGCGTTTCGGTTTATATATTTTTTTTTTGCTGGCAAACTTCCAGCTCAACCTCAGCTCACAAAAACTATTAAATTTTGAAAGAAATCGACGAAACAATTACTGTATGAAAGAGCAGAAATAATCTAGGGAAGAGAAAAAAACAAGTAATGCAGTACTGATTACAAAAGTGGCACGATTTTATACAAATTACAGAAAACTGATGGAAATTTTTTAATAAGCAACAGATGCCCTCCAAGATTTCTCATCATCATGCCCTACCACATTCCGGATGTAGCACTCCGTTTCATTGTGTGGTCTCAAAAATTTAGCTCTTTGGTCGAGGTAATGCTCTCGTTCTTTCAATGAATTATCATTGTGTTGCTCACGACAAAAATCATGTTTTCTTCTTAATTCACAACATTTACTATTTAGCTCCATACTGCTGCCTGCCTGAAAATAAAATGTACTTAAACTTGAAAGCGTGAGCAAAAAGTACTGTCTACAAATATTATTTAATGTTATCTTTGGAAAACAGGTAGTGATTGAAAAGTGAAACTTCAAGTAATCTCATGCGTCTCGATATTATTAATTGTTAATTTTTCGTAAAAATTTCATGCCAGCGATAACAAGCTTGGCTGAGTCAACTCTCACACTGCAACGCGAGGGAGATTGGTCGAACTTTGAGCCACTGGCAACATTAGCACCATTTGAATATGTACCAAAGTATCGTCTGGAATTCTGGGATATATTTACAGAAATTGGATCGTAATATCGAAAATTTGACTGAGGTATGAACACATCATTAGTACCACGAGAATTCGATTGGGATCGATAACGAGATGCAACCTAAAAACATGATAATGAGAGAATGTAAACGAAAATAAATCAAAGTTTACACGGAATTTTGAAAGCATGAAATTCGAAATAAAACAGACGAAAACCTGCTGTTCGTCAGCTTTTTTTTCATTCCGAAAAGCCCCCATATCAAACATCGCTGCTTTGGAACGAACATCAGAATGTATCTGTTTGAGTTCTTTTCTAGATTCACATTCACCAAATACTTCGAGTGATTTTGCGGTTGTCGTATTGTTACTGAGAGCGGCATGTAGTGATGAAGTATTCCCCGTTGTTTCACTTTTATCATTTTTCGATTTTTCTACATCCACTCCAAAATATCGTACAGGTGTTTGCTGTTCAAAATCTGAATATTCTGATTTCATACAGAAAATAATGGCTATTAAAGAACAGTGAAAACAGTAAGTATAATTATTTATTCATAAAACTGGGAAAACAAAAAATACAATTCAAAAATTCGCTTTCACCTTCTTTTACGTAGGCAATTTCACGATCAAGACGATTCTCAACATCGCTCACCCAGCTGAAGTCAATATCGCTAACTTCAGTCTTCATATTTGAACTCTGAGTTAATGAGCTTATTGTGGAACCATAATCTGCATTTCTAAAAACCATGAATCTGCTACTTTTAATATCCAAAAATCAAGTGTTTGTGTGAGAAAGAAATACTCATAGAAGAAAGCCAATTTTCTAATGAACTGTTATTCCAAACATAAAACCAAAATCTTTCCCGTGGCCTACACTAAGAGATAGATGTTCAGTAAATTGCCAGAAAAATAAAACAGACCTTTTAAGCGAGAAAGATCCCATGTGAGTCTGTTGTGGAGTATTACTTTGTGACGTAGCTTCATGAGTTAATGATCTGCATTGCTGAAATAAGTTTTTGAACAATTCCTTCCTTGAAAATGTCAGCATGAAATTAAGGATCTTGAACACATACAATCAAGATTGAAGAGGACTGCAGCTCAATTTATATTTCATAACAATCTTGAGTAAACTAAGCAATTAGTACGGATGTGATTATTTTAATGAACTATCTTGAGTTAAAAAAGCAAAAAAAAAACTGACAAAATCTTAATTACAAATTAAATGAAGGAGAATGGAGTGGCATTAAGATGTCCCAACCATTACTAAATCACAAACTTGTTTACAATGAACATAGTGCAAACTCAACAACCTTATCATCGTCGATTGAGTCTGCGATGTTTTTGGAAAACAAATAAACGTTGTTGTTTGTAGTCTTTTTAGCATCTGGTGAAATTTTAATAGGTATGATACGTTCAACGATACCCCCATCTTTATCCTCAGTGTTGTCATTAGGAACAGATGACGCATTTTGGTGTCGATAATACTTTTCACCATAATTATGAACAGCAGTTGTATTAGTACTATTATATTCGTTGATTACTGAAGGTTTACGAGATCCATTGTTCAGGTCCGACGAGCTACGGTCAGCTTCACCTTCTTTAAGTCCGTTACTTGTTTCTTCACCGTCGACAATATCCACAGTGCCATTCTGTATCGTAGATGACGATTCTCCACGATGCGATAAATTCCATTGCTGTAGTCGTGTAGGAGATGCTACCGAAGCATCATTTCTGGGTAATCGAGCTCGTTGTAAATCTTGAACTCGATGTGGCAAATTTTTTAACTGTACTGGTGAGGGTGTCCCGTGCTGTACCGAGGATGATCGATCAGTTGGTGATGTTAAATGACTTTGGTCTGATGTGTTCGTGGATGGCGCTGAATGAATTAGTCGAGAATCCGAGACAACATATCCATTCGAGCAACCGCTGGAAATTATTCGATAAAACTCATCTACTTCGTGAATTATTCGAAGAACAAATATTTTTCTAAGTTGCCATTTTTTACTTTTCTGATTTAAGCGGTAAATCCAAGAAATTATAACTGTCGTCAATCGGAACACTAACCTGCTAAAAGATGGTTTAGGCGGACCATGTGGTATATCTGGAATGGTATCGCCATGAGGAATTTTCCGTATTTTTCTGCATTCTTTCCAGCTACGTTTCTGCATCACTGGAACATCCGCATAACCATCCAGTGCTTGACTGAAGCATTAGAAATCAAAGAAGCAAATTCAAACTACAAAGTTAAATTTTTTAATTCAAAATAATTCTTTCTGAGCAAGTTTAAATTAAACCAACTCTGACAAACAAAGTTTTATTGATCCTCTTGTCATGGTGGAGCACGTAATTTTCTATTTTGATGAAAAGTTTTTTATACATCAAAGTGCAAGAAGTACAAACATTTTTTAGCATAAATTGAAAGTAGGAAAAAACCGCTTCAAATATAAAAACTGTGAATGCCAAAAATATTTAAGAATTTCCAAAAAATGCTTGGCCTTTTTCAAAGTTTTAACAGTTTAAAACTTGATATTTCACCACCTTCTGCTTACAAAAGAAATAATTTGTTCACAGATGATATCATATTTTTTGGCTAAGCTGCAAAAATGCGGAAAAATAAAGCAAATCCAAGTTATCATTTTAAGAAAAATTAAGAATTATATGCAAAACGGATTGTTAGCCATATTTCAGAATATGTGTATTATCTTGACCCCATATTTACTAAACATTTGTCCTCGAAAATAAGAAGGATACCTTTCTTCCATCGCTTTATCGCTAAAAATCTATAATTAATGCTATTCTATGTTAAAACTATTATCTCATAGAGTAATTCCTAACAAACTGCTAGTAATAATCATTACAGACGAAATAAAGAAATGACTATAACTTACAACTTCTACTTTATGCCCTACAGTGAAGATGCTAAATATAATGTCCACTATAGAAACATATGAAACATTATGATCCTCATAAGCAGTTTCGTGCATCAAAGCGAAAGTAAAGCAGAAAAATATACTAAACCTTGTTAAATCGTCAACAGAAAAAGCTCGTGAATATGGCAACAGAGGTGGTGCTGGTACTTGAGGTGGTATGAAATTTGGAGGAATCGAGCCCATTTTTTTGAGTAACTTTTTCTGCTGCTTTTGCCATTTCCTGTACTGTTTGAGTGTTGGTGGTGGAACAGCAACAAAGGTTGGAAGCAATGTTGATGGCATTCCATGAGGCATCGGCGGTGGTGGTCCATCGAGAAGGAAAGGTTCATTGAGAGACAGACGAGAATTGGCCACTTTCCAATTCTGAAAAGTATATTGTTTTTAACAGAAGAATGTATCAATAATAAAACAATTATATATATATAATGTGGAGGTTAGTTTTAATTTTCGCTTTATTGATTATACATATATTTGTTTACATATCTATAACTAAAATCCATGAAAGATACGCAAATAATGTAAAACTCAAGTATCAAGTGTAAAAATTTCTCATGATCTATTATATGTACCGACAGACTAAATATGTTTATCTCGAGTGAGATTTGAAAACTGCCTGTGTCACAAAAAATGAGTCTGCTCATGAATTTCTGCCTGATTTTCCAACACTACTCGTACTATCTAGAATCTCTTTGATTATTATAGAATATAGGCAGACAGAAACAGTAGTATTTAGCATGGCTTTCCTTGGTTTGACCAAATCACACATCAAAAAAATTAGTCTATATTACACCTAGGTAATGCAAAAACCGTTTTTAAAATTAAGAAAGCGAATATAAACATATGAAGAGAAATTAATAATACCTTTATTTAAAAGTAAATGCTGAATAATGTCAAGAGCTCTGCTTATCAGAGTTGCAAATATAAGTCATTCTATAATTTTGTCTACAAAGGAATAATATATGATATATGTAACTATAATCAGCTTTTAGTTTCGTATTTTAATAATAATGATGCTTCTGTCACGTGAAGAGAACGATAATCATTATGAAAAATATTAAAACATCCCTGGTTGATCTGGGCATTAGGTTTATCATAAGAAATAATGAAAGCAGTAATTTTATATTCATTTTTAGTAAAGTGCGAGAGGGTACAAGTTTTTCCAGAATCATAGAATATCGGACTAATACTTCATTTTTCACAAGCAGAATGCTTTTCAATTTTATCTTCTCAACTTTTTCTATAAATGAATGTTCAGAACAAGTTCTAGTGATCAAAGATCTTTTTACTTTATCATCTCAATCACACATTAAATTTAAGTTAGGAAAAATGTTACCAAACCCAATACATCTATCATAGCTTCATTTAATGTTGAAACGAGTAATAAATAACTTTGACTACGAAACAGGCTACAGAAAGGTTGCTAGTGTGGGACAATGCAAGAAAAATGGAGTGTAATTGCAATAACCGGTTTTATTATATGGACAGAATTCAGGACAAAGAACCCGTGGCCATTGATCCTTAACTTTTAACCATCAATGACATTCGGAAAATAGCTGCAATTTAAAACTAAACTACTCCTTCTGTTAATTTTTTTTTCAAGAAAGTGCCGATTATGGAACACGTCAGATTTTAACTAACCAATGAGAGGTATGTGCTATATTTTAACCAAAATAAAATATCAAAAGAAAGAATTCAAGAGATCACAGTGAGCAGAGGAGTAACATTACTGAAATTACTAGAAAAAATATGTTCAGATAATATAAGGCAAGAACTGTTTAATTTATATCTTTCCTAATTACTAATTTGGTACAGTATTAATACTAACATTAGGTCGCCATCGTTCTGATTCGGTTGAAGTAGTCATTTGACCAGAGTCTGTACCATTATAATGATAGAGTGAATTGATCGACTGGTGAAAAGCTGCAGCTCCATAAGGTTGTGGGACAAAAGCAGTACAGAATTGAGCATTAGTATGTCTTGAAGGATTTCGCAAATTTCCTGTAGGTAATGGTGGAGGGGAGCCAACAAGATACGGAGATATTTGTGATGAAGAAGACTTGTTGCCCATTTGTTGAACCTTCGTAGTCCCTGCGTTGTATATGTTACCAGCGAGACAAACTGAATTAAGGTGGTTGTCGTTGAGGTGTATGTCCCACTGTGTTTCCACCCGTAAAGTGCCACTCCCTTTTCCCATTTACTCGAAAGGTTTGCGCACCATTCCTCCTTCCCTTTCCTTCTTCACATCTATCATAATATCTCTCTAGCAATGTGACACCGATTACAACCTACTACAATTCACCTTCATCTAACAAGACCAAACGGTTCACGTCTAATGCATTCCTCTCACCCTATCATCTATCCCTTCATTTACTGCATTTTCAAAAAAAAAAAATGAACTGAACAAGTTAACGCTATTGCTATTTACTGAGATGTAAGTATACTTACTTTTGTTTCTCTTTTTTTTCCCCGTAAACTATCAATAGGTAACTTACTGGAAACAGTTATTGAAGGCTGAAATTACTTAATATTGAACCACTTATTACTTTCATACATTTGTGTTGCGAAAAACTACCTAATGCTGTTTTCATGCTGAAAAAGATATCGCACTCTTGCGTTAGTATGACAGTTTCATAATGTAATGAAACATTTCAGCCACTGCTGCCAGCATGCAGTGTGTACCAACTTGCTATTACTGAATCTGAATTAAAATATGCATTGAAGATTATACATAAACACATAGACAACGCCTGTTACAATGGAAGTTCTTGTGAATTTTAATATTTCAGAATGATGGATTCATCTATTTGATGATCACATTTTTCCCTCATAAACATGGCTACAAGTAGCAGACATGTCCATAATATAAAATTCGATGTGTTCACAGTATGAAATATAACCTTATTGAAATACTGTCCATCAATTCAATATGTTCATTATGGCAATTTCAAGTCTTGGAATAATGATTATGAAGATGCGTAATGATCGTGTTTGCTTCATTGTCACTTTCATCTCTGGAGTAATTAATCAGTAATTACTGGTTTTATCTCAGCAGGATTCCTGTTTTATGTTTCCTGAGAATTATTTTAAGCAAGCCTTTAATGCTTTAAAAATTAAAAATAAATTAAGAGATGAATTTGTTTTTAATGATAACCTGTTCTTAGTAGGAATCGAAAAAGTGCAGAATTATGAATGATTTAAGCAACAAAATTGTAGTCAATTAAGAAATAATTAGACCTCTAATACCAAATATTTTTGGTCTCTTTTGTACTGGGAAGTAAGATAAAGTGTTAAATATTTTGAAACAGTTTTCAAATTTATTTTAAAGTAACATATTTTTCATGCCACATTTTTTTCCCTTTAATTTTAACAAAGAAGAAAAACTGTTTGTTTAGTACAGCATAATATTTGCTGCGTTTCTGAAGTCAGTTCTTAGAATGTCAAGACTGGGTGAGTTGATGAAGGTCAGGATGGAATGCAGAGATTGTGGACAGCATTGATTGTAGAAAGGTCACCCCTAGTTAATGGGTAAAGGTCAGTTTCAATAGGTCTGATATGCTGACAGTTATGGTAATGACCCTTAGGGACTCTCATTCATGAGTCATTAATATAAATACGACCCGCTTTCCCTTCCCTCAGCGTTTTTATATTCTTTCCGACTACCCTAATCATTTATTCTGAAAAAAAATGTGTTGATGACTATTTGGAGATTATGGTACATATCATTAGTATCAAGCTAATGTTAAGAGAGGACATCCCTTTGTAATAAAATCATATACTTCACATGCTAAGTTAGCATTATGTCAAGCATTTTTTCGGTTCTAATAATTATCTGTAACATTCAAATAATGACTCGTCATTTCCGCAGTTATTACGATTAAAAATAGGTAGTTGATTGCAGAATTGATCTTTAACAGTTGTAATTGTGAGCGCATTTTCATTGATGTGAAATGTCAATCTGTCGCACTTAATTTTTGGCTTTATGCTGCATTTTTAATTTGAAAAAAGACTGGCTATTCTTTTTTTTAAACATTTATAAACTGCAAAATTTTTCGTTTCTAGTGCTGAAATAAGCACATTGTTCTGAAAATGCGAAAATTATGTAAAGTATGTAAGCTAATATCACGTTATATATTTTCCTCATACGATCTACACGTATTGCGACTGCATACTTTAACTAAAAGGATGAAAGAAAGTTTTCATTTCTAGCTCGTTACTTTATAAATTTTAATTCGTCCCCGAAACTTCTATACGAGATTGTGTGAGCATATTAAACGCAATTCCCGTGTGCTATCAACATGAACGAAATCATTTAACGAATGAATGAATATCGAAATGATATGAAACAAAATAAAAACACCTTTTTGCTGAGAAATAGCTAATAAGTCTTTAATTTATTTTCGATAAAAAAAGAAAGGTTGCTAAGTAAGGATTGAAACAGCGTACTTTGTTGGTAGCCTACTCATTAAAGACAAAAAAGTGATAGCAAACACTCAGGAATGGTTGAAATAACATTCCTAATCATGTACTCGTGCACAATCATTATAACAATAATGGTTTAACACGCAAAAACTTGACAACTATTTATCATTTTCACTAGTTGATGAAAGTTTCTTCAGTTTTTAAAGAAGATAATATTTATTATCAAGGAAAAGAATTTATAAAGTTACGTTTCCAAAATATAACGAGGTTATTTAATCGTGATACAATCACTGTTACTTACGCTTCCATAGAAGGATGGAAAATAGATGATATTACATCATTTTCTGTCGTCATTGTCATTCTCCTCCATAATTTTGATCATTTTACAGTATGTTGTATTTCTTGACACACTTTGAAAAATAAATATGAAAAAAAGTGGACTAGAACTGGTCAAGGACAAAACATCACTTTATCAATAATTGTTTGATATTTTGCTTGGTATACTCATGATTGTTTTTGTTCATCATCAAAATAATCACATTCATTCAAATAATTTTGCAGTCTGTGGAGAAAAAAATAGAATTGTGTAGTTGAAAGTGAAGTCTAAGTAAGAAATGCCACTCATAAAATATATATCACGTTACACACTCAATGAATACTTGCGAAAATTGTCTGCCAATATTCATTCTTTGAAGTTTAACAATTAGAAACATCTAAGTACGTTTCATTGTACAAACACAATAATAATTTGCAAGAATACAATTTTGTCACTTCTAAAATATGCCAAACTTGTTTTTCATTTCATCATACCGCACCAAATATCTTGCTAATTAATCTTGAAATTTCGGTAACCAATAATAATTTCATTTAATTACTAATAATACAAATTTTTAAAAAAGTTGTAAAAATTTTAATATTTGATAGATAAATTTTTAAAGAAATCTGCATTCATTTATAAAAATTTCACTATGGCATTAATTTTTGTTAAAACAGAAGAAATAAATGACGGGTTCTCTTTGCACTTTGTTATTTCAACACTTTGCAAGTTACTGTAATAACATAATTCAATGTATTTCCTACAGAACAAAGATGCTTGATTTTATCGTAACTTGTTAGTGACTATTAATTTTTATAGTGCTTATAACAAAATAAAAAATCAGTTTTCAGAAGTAGGTATTTCAAAGAATCCTGTGAAATCAGAAATGTGAAAAACTGTTAAATTTATCAAGAATTTGAGAGAAAAAAGTGTACTTTTAAATCATGAAATCTTGTCTCTTATCTCATCTTCTCTCATTAAGTAAGCTTCTTTCAATGAATAAAAGTTTGATGGAATTAAAAAGCGATCAGGAATAAACTTTAATGCCCCGTTACAAACAGACTAATCAATCATGACCTTGATAAAGCGAAGTTATGTCTATAATTCTTTCTCTTTGCTACTTCACTTAATTCATTTTTGGATAGAACTTAATAAGCTAATAAGCAGTCAAGCATTAATACTTGCCATTATTATTTCTAAGTTTTGATGAAATTGAAATTTTAATTAAAATGCACAAATTCGTGATTCTTACTATACTGCAATAAATTATTTGTTTGGCACAAAATAAATGCAGTCAAATTTGCTTGTAAGTAGTCAAAAATTCGTTCTTTTGATCATAGTCAATTTTTATTTGTCTTTTTGGCAATAATAACTTGGCTAGCAATCGATAAATGATCATTTCCAGCACATTTTTGTAACATTCATTTTGAATTTATCAAAATTAATGCATTGAAAGCAGTGTTTGATTCTACAATATTTATGCCTGCAAACAAATAAATATGGCATTTTGGCATTATCAGTTGTTAATTTTTTATTATAATTTACTAACTGTTAGCATTTTCTTTGCATTCAAAAAACGTATATTGAAGTGCGACATTATCATTAATTGTCGCTAATATCAGAAAAAATAACTATGCGAATAAAAAAGTTAAAGCATATAAAAATTGATTGTATTTATTAGGAAATGAGCCTGTTTTAATGATTCAAATTACTGAAAAAAATATGTATATGTGATATTTGAACAATAACAATAAACGTAAAATGCGATTGTTACATATTTGAATATTTTTGATTAGAAAAAGACAGCACGATACCAATATTAAAAGTACAATACAAGCAAGCAAAGTGGTATATTACAAGTTATTTCTGTTCTTGATTTAGTTTAACAAAGAAAGATTTGTTCCCTGATATTTTTCAATCAAAATTAGATTTTCAATATGAAATAGATGCTAGATCTAGAAGCGACCTAATTTCTTAGCAATTTTGTATATCTTATCATTGAACATACAAAAATCACTAATACATTATATTCATTATAAACAATTATGATCAAAATACTGTTTTCAGTAGCAAATAATATGGGACAGGTAATGAGTAAACAATTGTAAAAAAATGACACTTCTGGATTTATCTAACTCAAGTAGATGACTAACTGATACTTAATCAACAACAAGCAACGTGTGACAAAATAAATACAGTGGAAGTTTTTTGCAAAGGATAGGTTTCATTGATAAGAAAAAAAATGATTGCTAGAGAACTGTGTTAATTGAAAATTTGGAACATTGCCAAATGGATTTTGATTATTAAGATAAATTTTCAATTTTTACAACTTTTAAATACTGATTTAGATAATTCTTGTTTAAAGACTGCAGGGAGAACATCGAATTCATTCATTATAAACAATTATGATTGAAATGGTGTTTTCAGTAGCATATGGCACCGAACAGTTTTATTTAAAG